GCATACGGCCAGGATTTTGAAAGGCTTATAGCAGCAGCAGCAGCAGCAGCAACAGCAGGAACCAGCAGCAGCAGCTGGCGCAGGATGTGGTTTGCCGACACTCAAAGAGGGTTTAAAGCCAAAATATTTTCATTGAACGCATAATTTTCACACATTTGCCAAAGTGAAGTGTGTGTGTGTGTGTGGGTGGGTGTTTGTAGTGCTCTCCTTCCACACTCATTTCTCGCTCTGCCTGGCCAATATACATATCCATATCCTTTTATTTATGCCTACCTGTGCTGTTGTCCCTTTGCATTACTTTGATATAATTGTATAAAATATTTATGCATTCGCCTGTGCTCGATGGCTTTCTCGGAACACTGAGCTCTGTGCCTGACAGCCTAAAGAGAGATTTATTAGAATTTGGGCACTAGATTGCCCATAAAGCAGACTTTCTGAGCTGGAATGTAGTTGCTTGGAATCTCTACTGAGAGAACTTATAAGTGAAAATCAAGTTTTCTATATAACATATAGTTAGAGATGCATTTTCTAATCTTGTATAAATATGAATATCAAAATATGTTCTTGGTACTTTTAATGCTTGATCATCAATAAATACATAATCTCCTTCTCACTATTGCCTTTCCACTCAAATATTTGAGAACTAACTTACATAAAGGCGATTTTTGGGCATCTGAATATTGAGTATAATCAGCATATATTCCAAATCTTATCTCTAAAAAGATTTTCTTATACTCCACAAATACTTTTGGATTAAATTCAGCAATGTGATATAAAAATCTACAAAGGCTACAAATATCTTTCATCTCAAATCCCTCAAACTTCAGCTCCTTTAATTAATTTACCAAAATATCTCTGAGAACTGCACATAAATTACCTATATATAGCATATATGTATATGTATATACTCTTTTATATTTTCGCTTCTACGGAAATCCCTCACACACTTCAGTTAATCAATCACGTAGAGCAAATATTTCGGACAGCAGAGATTGGGTGGGCCGCTGAGTTCAATCAGGTTTCTCAATATGGTTAATTAGTTGTTGTCAGCAGCTCGTTAGGCGACACTGAGACTTGAGAGGCATTCACCTTAACCTTAAATGCGACGGCCAGCCGCAAATGTTCACGCACAGATGAGGCGACACATTGATGTGTGGTGGGGCGGGGGAGGGCATAGTTTTAATTACACACGATCCAACACGCCCACACACAGACGTACCCTCTCTCTCTCTCTCAAGGGAGGGCTACAACGGTACCTGCATGTTGGCGGCTAATAAACCTAACAGCCTTTGGCCATAAAACAATCTTGACTCGAAGTGGACACGAAACACGAATGGCTGACATATCGAGGTATTGGCTAAATGAGGGGGACACAAGTGGACAAAATGGGGCAGGGCTGGGGCTGGGGCTTGATGGCTATGGAAACGCAGCAATTTGAACGCTCATAAAACTGAACGGCGGCAAATGGAAAACGGGGTGGCAATTGCCAAAGGCAAGCCAAACTTCATAGTTGTTCAACAACAGCAACAAAAACAAATACAAATCACATAGGTATACATATAGATGTATATATAACTTATATAGAAAAAGCCCCGTTCATTATTTACCACCGTTCGTAGCTGAAACTTAATTTGCGAAAAGAAAAATCGATAGATAGTATTTATTTCAGTGTAATTACAATTCAACTGGAATGTCATTTGTTATTTATAAGTCACGCTCTTCGTTTTATGGGAGTTTTGCAAGTGTTTCTAGTTGAATGCATAAAAGTTTCGGAAGTTTTTATGCAGCACAGAATGTGTTGAATTAGCGAGGGAGAAAGAATGAGAGATATACATATACATATATGAGTAGAACAAGAGAGCTACAGATATATAGAGATAGAGAGAAAGACAGATTAAGAGAGAGATTTATATATAGAAGGAGATAGATAGAGATATACACATCTAAATAAAAAGAGAGAGTGAGAGTAAGAGTAAGAGGAAGAAAGAGAGAAAAGATAGAGATTGAAAATTAGAAAGAAATAGAGTGAGACAGTGAGATAGAGAGGGACAGCGTGAGAA